TCGGGCATGCGAAACTTCTTGGTAATGGGCATCGGAGCCGCGCTTGGGGGGAAAGGTTTTTGTATGAATTTTTTGGCATCTAGGCCCTTCAAAACTGGAGGTGCTCCGGGTATCTGGTCTACCCAGGAGTTGTAAGTTTCCACCTTTTTATCGTTGTCTTCTATCTTCTTTTTTCCTGACTCGATTCTTTTTGTCAGTTCCTCGAGCATTTTCATGATCGTGGGGTCAGTCCCCAAGCCGCTTTCATCGGGCCTCCCAAGCACTGGTTCATACTGTGCGTTTACAGGTTCGGCGGTGTTAGGAGTCGTAATCTGACTCTGAAGCTGAGCGATGGCGACTTGCTGAGCTTGCAACATCTCGAATATCACTTGGAGGCTGACACCTCCTTCTTCCAATCCCCGTGTTTCGTGGCCTCCGGCTCGGGCTTCCCTATGTGTGTTCCCTGCGGGATCTGTGCCTGCGCCCGTGTTTAGAGCGTTGTGGGAGCTGATATCAACCAGCTCCTCATTTGGCACTCCCTCAGTGAATGATCTGTTCAGTGAATGATTTGTTCTTTACAAAATGATGGGGGACCCCTTTATATAGGAGGAGAAAACCCCAATATAGTACCTTGATCATAAAGGTAAAGAATTCTATTGGTACAGGTGTATAACAACCTAGTACAGACCTCTATAATTTCGTACAACCCTTATCCTATAATTAATGCCCAAATCCACGTGTCCTTGAGAAATTCCCGCTCTTTCTTGATTGACTTCGAGACAATGCTGCTCTCGATGCAATCCGGGCCATGCATTCGATCAGCTTCCTTGAGGTAGGTGTCCCTTAGCCGGATACGACACCCACTCTGAGTCTTCCGGACTTGGGGCCTATAGCCTGATATAAGACTTCAAAATCGTACTCCTCAATTTTGACCGTATACATAAATTGCTCCTATATTCTACGCTAATAAAGTGGCTATATAAAGATATTCTTTCTTTGAAAAGCACCATTGAAAAAGTTATTTCCTTAATTAAGACACAGGGTATTTTAAATGCGTTGTACTTTTTAACTTTGACATTCAACTTAAAATTGTGGTTGCAAGCGTACTATAAATTATGAATTGCTGCCTAACGCTACAATATTTAGTTAAATTAAAGCTCAAAGTCTATATTGCTACTTGTTAACAGTTTCAGTGCTTTTACATAGAAAACCTAACTTATAGCCTCTTTGGCCAAGCAAAAACAACTTATTTTGAGAAGTGTTTTTTCTCAAAAGTATTTTTTTCGTGAGAAGCAGTTTGTGTATGACTAATTAATTTGAAAAGCACTTCTGAGTAGCAATTAATCCTTGACCAAGTTTTTAAAAACTGCTTCCAAGTGTATTTTTCTCAAAAGTGTTTTTAAAAAAAATGTTCTTGGGGAGAAGCTACTTTTTTCTACTTCTGCTTCTCCTCAAAAGCACTTTTTTTTTCTTCCAAAAGTTTGGCCAAACACTTTAACTTTGAACTAGGAATGGAGAAGGTTGACCAAACAGGCTATAAGCATGGGATTACCTTCTTCCTATATGATTCAAATAACAAAATGCAGTGGAATTAATGAGCAATAAAAATATATGCTCACTAAAGTTACAAGTTGATAATTGTCAAAGTAATACTTAACAATATCACAATAAATTTATTATATCGTTGAATACATATAGTTGGTTTAAGATTTTTTTATTATCTTGAATTCTTTTAAAACTTTTTTTTTCCAATATCTAAATGAGTTTTCTTTAATCTAACCACCACCACAACAACAAATCCAGTATTGTAATGTCACGGGTGGGGTTTGGGGAGGGTGATTTGTACGCAGACCTTACTCTTACCTTGTGAAGGTAGAGAAACTGTTTCCGATAGACCCTCGATTCAAGGAACAGTAAAAATAAAGTAACAGACAGTAGCAATAACAATGTAGTATGAGCAAATGAGTAATAATAAAGAACTAGAACCTTTAACCTAACCATGGTGTCAAAATTTGTTTTAAAAAGAATAGCATAATGTCACAATCCTTCAGCAAGCTACGTACGTTAGTAGCTTCTTGGCTGTCGAGACTGCAAGACACCTGTACCTGCATAATTTGAAAGAATATATAAATAACATTATCATATAGGCCGCAACCCAAAATTGCCTTATTCATATTCAATAATATAACCATGATATAGTGCCAAAAGAAATCATACAATTTTGTATCTTAGTTTGGGAGCGTATTTTGTTTGACATAATATACCAAAACCATAGTCTATTCATCCATCATTTGTGGCCAAGACTCTAATCTCTTAGATCAGAGAGAGCATCTCCATATGGCTTGTTGTTTGTTGGTATGTGTGGCAAATGGACCTTTCTGTTTTCCTATCACAATATGTACCTTTTAATTTTAACCATATATTGCAAGTTAACTACTACGAGAAGGCAACTTTTGTGGATCTCATCATCTATGACAACTTAACCATTTGGGAAAGGAAATCATTGGGTGGATAACTTGTAATATTATTCTTGGTTAAATTCATATAGTAGAAAGTGGGATTTGAACCGTTTTCAAGGGTATCTCATCTATAAGGAAAATATAAGTTTCACATATGTAAAGATTTTTTTAGAAATTTGTTTAGTTCATTAATTAGCAAGGATAACTTTGAAAAAAGAAAATTAATACCTTCTTGATTTTCGAAAAAATTAATTATTTTGGACCAAATAACAAAGACTAAAAAAATCAAATAAAAAGGAATGGAGAGGAGAGTAGCATTTATCCTCTTTTAACATGTGCTCTTGCTATAATGTTATCGATATCCTAACTCATTCTGGTATTAATTCATACCACCTTAATTATTGTTTAAAGTTTACTCCCTCCGGTCCACAATACTAATTTGCTTTTTTATTTTGGTCCAAAATAAGTGTTCGTTTATATAATCAAGAAAAAATTCAATTTATTTTTTCAAAATTACCCTTATGTACATTCTTAAAAAGTTTTCTTACTCCTCACATTAAATTTTAATTAAGGGTAGTTTAGTCATACTAAGTATTTTTGTATAGAATTTAGAATTTTCATAATGCGCGTGCCCAAAGTAAATTGTCACTTATTGTAGACCGGAGGAAGTATTAAGTAATTTTGTATTGATAAACGATTTAATTACTTTGATATCATCGATACCCATTCAATATGTGACAGCTTTTCCACCCCAATTGTTTATAGTTTCTTAATTGTTACGTCTGAAACAAAGCTATAATTAGAGATCAGATCTAAAAGAAATATTCCTCTGATAGAATTAATTTATATAAGGAACAAGAAAATAGAAAAACGGGAAGGAAAAAAAAAAAAAGAGTTGGTGTACCTTTGGTGGGAGATCATGCATGTGGGATACACGTAGTTCCTGTACGAAATATTTTATGAACTTTCTTATCACTAAATAAGGAAAAGAAGAAAACTAAAATAAAATTCAAAGAATTTATTATACTTTATTGTGATGTTATTTTTTTTTTAATTCTTATTAGTGCTCAATAAAAAAGAAATCGACTCAAAATTTGTGGTGTAAATGGCCCCTCCAAATTGTCTACAACGGTCATTTGAACACCTTAACAGACCTATTTATCAAGTAGACACCTCAAGTTATTTTTCAGTGTATCACTTAAACCCTTCAAAGTGACATGGCAAAATGTGTGTACTACACTCGCCTTGAAGCAAGTGAAGTCTTTCAAAATTATGTTTATTTCTTCTTCTTTTTTTAATTTAACTGGTGGAGCCACTTTTCCTCACTCTTTCTTCTCCAAATCATCCTACCTTCTGCCCAAACAAACCCATCTGCAATTCTGTATAGAAATAAGTCTTCTTTGTCTCTTTTGAGTCTTTGGAAATGCAAAAAAAGTAAAATAGGAAAGAAAATATAATAAAAAATGGAAGTTTTTCGATCTGAGGGGCTCTCTTGGGCTGATCAATGGGATCCAGAATCTCCTCCTCCTCCCAATGAAGATGAAAAGAAGAAACGCAGAGATGCTTCTAAAAACAAATTTCTCAAATGGGTCAAGAGCCTACACACAAAACACCACGAAATACGATGCCGTATCCGCCTTCACCGATCACATTCTGGGCACAAAATCAACCGGTGGCCATCTCCAGTTCTTTCAAACTGTACCACCGGCCCCACCCAATATTCGACGACTCCGTAGAACCAGAGATCGCCGACGATGCATCACTCCGGCTCGTGCTCGACTCATTACTCCCTAAACTTCCTTTTATACCCCCGGACTCAACTTCGATCACTTCCGGAGTTTCTTTTCTTAGAATCGCGATCGTCTCACGCATCTGGTTTGTTCCAACCACCGTCGATTCCGGTCATCTCTTTCTTTTACGGTGGTCTCCAAGTTTTTGTCATGGACTCATGGTCATCAGCCTTTCTCGTGAGAGGCAAGTCGGAAGGGGTCTTCTTTGACATCGGAAGATGAAGTTGGAGGTAGGGGGGGGAGGAGGAGAAAGGGGCGCTGGAGAAGGGTTTTTTTCTTTAAATTTTTTTTTTTTGGTATATTTGTGTTAAGTTTTAATTACAAATTACACGTGTCGTTCATTGATTGGCTTATTTGGCAAGTGTAAGTGTGTAACTCACGCATCTGGTATGCTGTACCAGGGTGTCTATTTGATTTATTTAACAGACACTTGAGGTGTCTACTTGATAAATAGGTCTATTGAGGTCTTCAAATGACCGTTGTGGACAACTTGGAGGGGCCATTTATGTATTTCGCCTAAATTAATTCATTAAGGATGAAATGGAAAATTTAGAGTTAAATTATTATTTTAACAAATTAAAATTAAAAGAAAGTATGACAATAAAATTAGACAAAGGGAGTAGTAATTAATCTCGAAATATGCAAATATAATGTTAAAAAATTAAGAGACCTATGACAAGTTAAATATTTTGATATTTGTCCTACTATATAGAAACTGAAATATTTTTTCTTGGGATGGAGAGTAGAATACTATATAACCTCAGCAAACTTCCCTTCTTTTTTTTTAAAAAACTTTTTTATGTGCCGTAAAAATGTAAGTAACTATTTATGCATGCCAAAACCCACACAGTATCTAATCTAATATTTTCAGTCCTCTAAAAACTTAGCCTAGCTAATGGCGTCTTCTCTGTTACCTATTTCTAATTCCAGCTCAAGCTTTATGCTTTCGTTTGCGGCAGCTATTGTTGTTGTAATAGCTGTGTCCTTCTTCTCATTACTTGATCAAAATTCATCAATTAATCCATTAATAGAGAGAAGGTTTGAAGAATCAGAAGTAATTGGAATAGTGGGCGCTGTTGGGCCAGAGAGCTTTGCCTCTGACCCTCACGGTGATGGTCCTTACGCCGGCGTTTCTGATGGCCGAATTATCAAATGGCTCCGAAATGAGAGCCGCTGGCTGGATTTCGCCGTCACATCGCCGGATAGGTATGATTTTATTATCTCTTATAAGTTACGTGATATACCCGTTTATAATATTCACTTTCATGATATACCAAAGTTTTAAAATTATATCAAATATTCCAAAAATATTACACGGTATACCTCCATATATTCTAAAATATATCACGATATTCTACTTTGGAATACAATCCAAACCCCACTTACCATATATTCTAATTTGGAATATGATATTCTAATTAAACAGACCATAATGTTTTAATTTGGAATATATTATTCAAACTAAAGATACCACAATATTCTAATTTGAAAAATCCAAACCTAGCTTACTCTAAAATTCTAATGAAGAATACAATATCCAAATATTCAAACTAAACATCCTACAGTATTCCAATTTGGGATACAATATCCAATTTAAATATATTCTAACAAAACATACTACAGTATTCTAATTTGGAATACAGCATCCAAACCAAATATACTACAACGTTTTAATTTGGAATACAGTATCCAATGCAAATATACAATAATTTTTGATTTGAAATACAATATTCAAACTAAACATGCTACAGTATTCTAATTTGGAATACAATATCCAAATTAAATATATCAAAATATTATAATTTGAAATATACAGTATTATATTTTAGAATACAGTAGGTATACATAGTAAAATAATTTCATAAAATAGGTATACAGAGTAAAATAAATATTTTAATTATATATGGTCTTAACTTATGTTTTCAATGGACATACCGCGTAGATTATCCTTTTCTTTATTCTTATGGTTGTTAGAACATGTTCTTGACGTAAAGAGCTAGAACTAGTCAACAAGGAACTAACGTATTACGTATAGCATGCTCTTTTCATGACTACTTTCCAACATAAAACACTTTGGTAGTTCAGAATCACTCACCTAATTCTCCGCTTCTCCTATCCCCTTCCCTCCTTTCCCCCATCACCACTAAGACAATTTTTCTTTTTTTTTTTTAAAAATGTTGTAATTAAAAATTTTTATTACCACTTGGAAGAATTGATATCTATATAAACAAACAAAAATAAAGGAAATTCAATCACTGGATGAAATCCCCAGTGAAAGAGTCACTACTAAACAAATTGGGAATTAGCTATAAATTTGGTTGCTAATGTTTCACTAAATTACTCGTAGCTAATAGATTTTTTTAATAATTTGTCATTAAGTAGGATTAGTAACAAATTTTGCTGTTTAGCTACAAAATTTGTTCCTATATTTCTTTTTAGTGCGTAATGAGTAAAGCAGACAAACAGCCTATAATCCTTCACATTCCCCTTTGCTCCTGATCTATTCTAGCTATAATAAAAGTTTTAAGTCTTGCAACTTCTAGTCATAGATATCCTAAATATTTCAGTTGTGACAAAAAATATATTTAAAATAATATTTCTTCTTTTAAATTAAACATCACACATAGTTCGTTAATTTTAATTAATTTATCTCATTTTTCATATATGAGATTAAAGATTAACATTGTGGTGTAAATAATTTTTATTTAAGCAAAAAATACATGTTGAGTTTTGAGAAACAAACTACTCCTCTTGGCGTTCAAATAAAGAGAGAGGTCTTTTGTTAGACAGACAAGGATGACCTAATAACTAGCTCGACCCCTCGCTTCTTAGCTACTAGCTAGTCCTAATTACTTAATTGTGAATTAATGTTGGTAAAGGTGAATGAGAGAAAAAAAAAAAAAAAAGAAGGTAAACATGCATGAATTTATATGAATTCTCTCCCTCTTTCTTTCTGTGTATATAAACACACCAATAAATAAACCGAGAAAGAAAAATAAAAAGATGTTTTTTTTGCTTTATAATTTTGATAGTATATATATCTATGATTATCATGTGTAATTTATAACTAAATGAACTTCATTCATTCTTTAAGCAAATGGATCTATTTTGTGATTGCACGTCACATCCTACAACAACTGTCGAATTCTATCATCGTAGGCGTCCTTAAGGCCGCATAAACGGTATTAAGTAGTATTCCCTTTTTGGAGCGCTTTACAAGGTCTGGTCCCCCAGCAGATTATTTTTGTGAGGCTCTTTCTTTCTTGTCAAATATCTAAGGCAAATCTAGGCTTCAAAAATCAAATCAAATTGAAGTTGTGAAAAGAGTTCGTTGATATATCTCTTTAGTGATAAAAATACAATAGGATGTTTAATCAAATTTATTTTAGGAGAAACTTTCATAAAGCAGTATACATAGTCTATATCAACTGCATTTGTTCGCATATAATACTTGTGTCAGTTAATACTTTGATGGAAATACTAATATTGCGGGAGGATCTTCTTAAAAACAAAAAAATGCAATAAATCAACGTGTGTCACGCTCATGTAAATTTTCCTTTATGTAATGTTTTTGAGTTGGACCGCAATAACAGGAGTGGATGTGAAGGTTTTCATGACCATACTGATACTGAGCACAGATGTGGGCGCCCACTGGGTATGGAGTTTGATGAAAATGGTGGTGATCTATATATAGCAGATGCTTATTTAGGCCTCCTCGTTGTGGGCCCAAATGGAGGCCTTGCTACCAAAGTTGCTAAAATGGCAGAAGGTGTTCCTTTTGGATTCACCAATTCACTCTGCATTGATCAAACTCATGGAGTCCTCTATTTTACAGATAGCAGTACTACATTCTCAAGAAGGTAATACTTGCATGTAAAAAAATCACTAAAACTTTATTAAACATTAAATTTTGAATTCATATTTGTTTAACGAATTCAATCATGAGAATATAAATGTTAAACTCATTAAATTTAAATCTTGATAATCTTTGACATAAGTTGCTAACATTTTCAGGAGTTATGTATCAGTCATAGTTAGTGGGGACAACACAGGAAGGCTAATGAAATATGACATGAAAAGCAAGCTAGTCTCAGTTCTCCTCAAGAATCTCAAGTTCCCAAATGGAGTAGCCATGAGCAAACATGGTGATTTCCTCCTTTTTGCAGAGACAACCACTTGCAAAATCTTCAAGTTTTGGCTACAAGCTGGCAGTGTTGAGGTTGTCTCAGAACTCCCAGGTTTTCCAGACAACATTAAACGGAATAAAAATGGAGAGTTTTGGGTGGGAGTTAACTCAAGAAGAAGCAAATTCTTGGACTGGCTTCTCTCCAAAACTTGGATTAGAAATTATTTGGCTATAATCCCTTTTGATATTACTAAAGCCCATTCCTTCTTGGCAAGTCTTGGTCTTGGTGGGGGTGGTTTAGCAGTTAGACTTAGTGAAGATGGCCATATAGTGGAGATTTTAGAGGACTCAAAGGGCAAAAGATGGAAATTTGTCAGTGAAGTAAATGAAATAAATGGGAATTTGTGGGTTGGATCAGTAAAAATGCCATTCGCAATTAAAGAGAAGATGGCTACTTAATTATCTTTTCCTCTTGGAAGAGAGATACAAATGTAGTTCGTGACAATTACAAGATGTATATTTCCAAGAATTTTGCCTGAAACTGTTTTAAGTTTTAACAAATGGAATATACATGTATATTATATGTTTTATTTTAGCCAATATGCATTCTGTTCGTAGACATGTAATTTTTATCCTTTCCGAGATTTAACACATTTTAGCGTTTAAATATTTAGTTTAGGTCTAATATCGTTATTTTAACTAGTTTTGACCATTTTACTTTATTTTATCACAAAAATAAAAATTACAAAAATATTTTCTATCTTTACTTTAAAGTCAATTAATATATTTATATTTATAGCATCTTAATTTCACCGTGACTTTAGCCTATTTTTCTCACTTTTTTACTTTATTATACCATTTGAAAATACAAAAATAGTCCCACTTTTAGTATTTAGTTTTATTTTAGTAGTTTATTTTAATTAAGAGTAATTTTTATATTTTTATAAATACATTATATTATTTGATCTTCTTAGCCTAACTTTACACCCAAAAAATATGACCCAATCCAATTTCCTAAATCCAAACCCATTTAACCCCCTCTTAGACCCTAATTAAAAAAAAACTAAGAGACAAAAAAGGAGGACCCTCGATCAGCGCCGATCTCTCTCTCACAAAAAACCAGCGGCAGACCCCTAAGACCTTAGAGCCGCCACCCAACCTCCACCCCCTGAACCCCGAAAGTTTCAGTACCAGCCGCACACCACCCAAAGACCGCCATAGATAACCACTTTCATCCCTTTGTTTTCAGCTATGTAAAGTCACCTTCAACCACCAAAACAGCTGCTCAAACAGCCATGAAAATCTATGTCTCCGCCAAAAAAAAATGCAGCAAAGTAGCCATGAAAATCGAGCTGAAAACCAGCCAAAATCACCTCAAAACAGACCCTCAACTTTAGCGAAAAAGAGCTTTATTTCCACTCCAAAAATCAGTTGGTAAACATCATAAAATCCATCGAACAAGGTCCGTTCGAGCTTTTCTCGAGTCCCCGTCGCCGGCGTCGAGGTTCCAACTCTTGGTCCCAGTTCATGTTGCTGTTTTGGTTTGAGGAAGGGTCAAGTTCGGTCATCTACAGTCTTATTTTGCTGTACTGAAAGCTGTTCATTATCAATACAGTCAAAAGGATTATTACACCTCTTTTAAGGTCCATTCTAACCCCTTCTCAGTTCTTCAGTGCTTGGGTACATTTTCAATGTTTAATCTTGAAATCCCCTGCTTGCTTGTTCTGTTTTACTGCTTATTTGTTCTGTTTTAGATAATTTAGTAATGTTCGTCTCTTTGTTTAATTTTGTTCTTTTCTTCGTTAATTTTGTTCTTCGTCATGTGGTGTTCCTTTGAATATTCCGAATAGTGGATGCAGGTTAAGTAATCAGAATAGTTAAGAGTTATAATGAATTAATTTGTGCCATCTAACTTAAGAAGAGTTATAGATCGTGGGGTTTGTGGGTAAAAATGAAAGTATATTAGGCCGAAATGATATTGGGTTCAGTGATAATTTCAATTATATTTTGTTTGGTATGTGACGTTTTGAGTTGCATATGGTTTTGATCTTGTTTATTGATAGGATTTTTAAGACGCTAGGAGTATGCTTAGACCGTTAACATTTGGGTAGGCAAGTCTTAGGATTTTCGTTAGTTATGAGGCGAGAGGTCGTTCCCTTAGTTAAATTTATCCGAGGAATGCCCCGAAGGATTTATATACATTTTTATCCAGGATTTACCCCGTAGTATCATGTATTTGGAGGCCATGACTAACTTTGTGGAAAAGTATATTATATATTAGGATTTAGGATTTTACTTTAATTTTCTTATTTTATTTTCTTTCGTTTAGGTGGGGACGACTTCGAGCCTCTTGTGTATTTTTTTGCCTCAATTTGAATATCTTAAAAGCCAACTAGATCGAGTATGCAACCGTACTAGTTACGGGACTTGAGGAATGCCTAACACCTTCTCCCTGAGTGAAATGAACCCCCTTATCTTGAATCTCTGGTGCAAATTGATTTAAGAGTCAAATGTGTTTTGAAGGAAAATTGTTATTTAAAAAAAAAAAGGTGACCTGGCACACCGAAAACAAATGTCAGGTGGCGACTCTGAAAATCCTTCGAAACGCAATCTTTTTGTCACTTTCAATTTTGAAAACTCTTTGAGCTTCAAAAATCACTTTTATTTATTTTAAGAGGGTTAGTGAGGTAAAAAATGGGTGTGACAGCTTTGGCGACTCTGCGGGGGAATTGCAGGTTCGAGCTGATATTGTGATCTTATTGGCTTTTTAGAATATTTGGTTGAGGTTTTTATGTTTTTTTATTATTTGCTTTATTTGATTTTTATTTTGTTTGTGTTGTTTTATTATTTGCTAGTTGTTTCTGTGTTTACAGTTTTTTCTTTATGTGTTACTGATTTATGACTGTCATAATTTGCATAACCTCGAGTCAATTCTTTCTACAACAAGTCTCGGAGTACACGTCGCGTACATGAACTCTTTGCTGAGTCACTCTTATTTTAGGAGGGGAGGGGGGTCGGACGTATGGAGTGGGTGGAAAGCTTGAGCAGCCATCATCGACCTTACGCTCCCCTGAATTGCCTTGTTAGTGAACCCCAAACGTAGGTCAGCCTTTAGGTCATTTTATTTGCATCATATCATTGTGACTTAGTAGGGCTCGGTCCTAGGTACCGTATTCCTTCGTAGGAAGCCTGTCCATATTGTGTCAGGTGGGCCCATGCCCCAAAAGGACATTCAATCATCCCTATGTGATATCTGTCATCTTTGAGGGTAGAAAGGTTATTTGGCGGACTGATGTTTTGAAAAAATGGTGAAGTGTAAAAATGAAGCAAGTAGGACTCAGTTATGTTTTTCTTTCATAACTTTTTCAAGAAAAAGACCAAAAAAATGAAAATAAAAAATCCAAAAAGATTTTGCACTTTTCTATCATTTTCCAAAAAAAAATCAAAAAAGGAGAGAAAAAAAAATCCAAAAAGATTTTACATGTCTCATCATTTTTCAAAAAAGATAAAAAGATATGTTTTCTCCAATTTAGTGTTCTTGTTAAATTCTTTCTCCTATCCATTTTTCTCGAACTACGTATACCTGATTCTCGTCTCTCGGGGCGGGATACGTAGGCAGCCCACATAGGGTCCGGTTTTCCTAGTGAGTCTTAGGTTCTTGGCTTCAGGAGTCGTAGCCAAATCTTGTATGTTTAGCCGCCACATCGGCCATTTTTGCAAAATAGGGTTGTTTACTTAAAGTAGTTTGTTATCCCATGTCGTAGAATCCTAAGTCCACAACAAGGTGTCAGTAGAGTTTGAGTGGGGAAGCCTTGGAATGGTATACTTATCAAGATGTCAGTAAGTGGCATGCATGGGGTGACATGGCTCAAGATTTTGTTCGGCACTATCAGTACAATGTAGACATTATCCCAGACCGCTCCCCTCTCTCTCAGATGGAAAAGAAACCCGAGGGAAGTTTTAGGGAGTTTTGGCTCAGATGGAATGAACAAGTTGCTCGGGCCAGTCCTCCGATTGATAGAAAAGATGTTGATGAGCCCCGCCAACGACAAGATCCAGTGGGCATTCCTGTTAAACGCTTTCAGTCTCAATACTAACCTCATGTATATCCTCGTACTCCAAATAATCCTCACTAATGCTACTTTCCTCTACAAAATCCCCAAAGTCATACCTCACCTTCCCATTACTCTATCCACAATGCACCGCCATATGCTCCACACCCACGAAACCCGCAACGGCTTCCACCGCTTCCACAAATGTCTTACCCACCTCCACAAGCATATCAACCACCTATCCAAAAGAGGTTCCAACCAAGGCCGCAGTACAAAATGAGAAGGCAGCAACAAAGAGAAAAATCTTTCACTCCTATTGGAGAATCATATGCCAGATGTTCCAAAGGCTAAGTTAATTGGGCATGTTGAAGTCGATTCAGATAAAAATGCCGAACCCCCTTCCAAAGAATTTTGATTTTTCTCAAAGGTGCGCATATTGCTCTAATGCCCCGGGGCAAAACATAGAAAACTGTTGGCATCTAAAAAGAGCAGTCCAGAAGCTTGTTGATGCAGGTGACATTACCGTGCAAAATCCAAGTGCACCAGATACTAGCCAAAGTCCATTGCTTGTTCATAATGAGACGCATATGGTGGGCATGATTTGTGTGGAAAAGGAATATGAGAACTCTTCTGAATCCCTTGGAGGGCCACTTACCGCAAAGTTTTCAGCGCTATCAGTCTCGGTTCCAGAGGTTGATCCTAAGAACGAGTTGGCAAAAGGGACCCAAAAGCTATTTGCTAAGGTCAACGTGATGGAGACTTGTGGAGGTTCTGATAATATTGATGTGGAACTCAGTGGCTAAGATGTTGAGCTTGGTAATTGAAAAGACACTCCTTTCTTGGCTAGCTAGAGAGGAGTTTTAGTGGTTTATTTTGTTGTCATTTATGTGGTCCGGGTTATTTCAGGGTTGTAATCCGGATATTATCTTGTGGCTCAAACCCTTCTTCTTCTTATTTTGCCTAGTTCGTTTAGTTGTAGTAACTCGTCTAGTGTTATCTAGGATTGTTCCAAGGTTGTAACCCATGTCTGTTTTCTGTTAGTTCTAGTCAGTTTTTTTTAGGTCACTTTTCCTTTTATAGTTCTTTTCATGCTGGCTCTAGTGACATGGCATGCACGCATAATTCTCAGCATGGTCTTGAAAGTTAGTCTAATCATGAAGCAATGACACAATTTTAAATATGATAAAAGGATGCATTTGAGGAAACAAGTAAAGATTCACGCATTCTGAGATAACTTGAAGCTTGAATTGAGTGAAACTGAGGCAGTTAGTCTGGGAAATTAAGAGGTTGATGAGACCATACAACAAGGGAATGTCTCTCAAGCAGTTTGAGGTAGATCAGTCAGTGGTGAAATGCATTCTTCCACATCAAGATAAGGTTGAGTCAAGTCTGCTTCGAACTGGCAAGGGTCATTCACTGGGACAAATGTATTGCCTCTTGGCACTTTTTGTTTGCGTTGATGTCATCAATAGATACTATGTGTGATTTCTTTGCTTATCTTCAATTGCATGTTTATACTTGTTATTTTTAAAGTTTGGTATGACGAAG